ATTGTGTTAGGTTTACGTTGAGAACCACTCAATAACTTCAGTGTAGGGGAACTGTCGTCATYCGACGAAGAAAATACGTCAGAAAATTTCTCACTTTCCATGATCAGCTTGAATTCCTTATTAAAATAATCCAGCATTGATACTGCTGATGCATGCACAGAGTTTTCTGGGTGAACATTGAAAGTAATGGCATTATYGAAAATCAATCGWCACAAACGAGCAAATTCTTGTGCAGTTTGAACCTCATTTTCTTCAATCTTTGTTGACAATGTTTTAAAATCCATTKGGGTTTGAATCACGTTAGGGTACAAGGGAATGTTCAATTCGACTGGATCAACTGGTYGAGCAAAGAAACAACCATTTGCAGCATCCCTTTGTCGCATCTTTCGCAATAGCTCCACACAAGCTGTCTTTGTGTCRGYGGTAATTTTTCTCCTTTTATCACGATGTCTTGTTGATGACAGAGATGCTTGTTTCTTTCTTTCGAGGTCGTGCGCAGTCTTGACTGGTGTCTTCTTCTTCTCCTCCTCGTCGTTGTCGTCCTTCACATCTTCTTCCTTGACGTCATCGTCGTTGTTGTGTTCTACTAGCGTCGTGTCTTCAAGAGCGAGTAGTTGGGTCGATGGTAAAGGCTTCTTGTAACCTGTGCAATACCACGAAGAAGATCTGTTTTGAAAAGTAGACGAGTCGATAGGTTCCTTCATTATTGGAGTACGTTTAATCTTCTCTTCAACTTTGACCATTACCCTTGAGTTGAATACATATCTTCGAAGCCAATAACTGAAGTTCAAGAAAGAGTTCAGAAAATTTTCACCTCTTCTATTGTGGAAAGTCTTTCTTACAAGAACAAGAAAGTCTTTGCTGATAGCTCGATCTGATTGAAGCATCTTGATCACTTCAAGGTCTTCTTCTAATGCTGTTACAAGCTCCCAGTTGCTGTAGTTCCCTTCCTCTAAGGGAAAAATTGGCGAATTACAATTCGAGTGGCCATCATATCGCTTGAGGATTTTCTCAAGAAAGAAGATGAGTTTCTCTCGTAACTCGTTGTCGTTGCTGCTGTCGCTGCTACTGCTGCTGCTGTCGCTGCTACTGCTGCTGCTGTCGCTGTCGCTGCTGCTGTCGCTGCTACTGCTGCTGCTGTCGCTGCTACTGCTGCTGCTGTCGCTGTCGCTGCTGCTGTCGCTGCTACTGCTGCTGCTGCTGTCGCTGCTACTGCTGCTGCTGCTGCTGCTGTCGCTGCTGTTGCTGCTGCTAATTTTGCTGTTAGTAGCGAGGAGCTTCAACTTTCGTCTGAGCCTTTCATTTTCCTCTTTCGTCCTCCTATTTTGTTCTATAGCATCATCAAGTTGCTCGTCAGCWGCKACGGAGTATTTTTCCCAATCGACATTCAACTTCCTCAAAAAATGTTCGTATTTTGTCTTCAACGTCTTGAAGCGATTCCTGTATTTCTCGCGTTCATCCTCAAACTTCTTGTATTGCRTCTTGTAATAGTCTTCAAGTTTCTGGTATTGCTCAAGATAACTGGTGCGACGAATCRAATGAAGATGTTCGGGAGGGGGAGGAATAGGATAGAAAGGAGATAGTAGTTTCGTTTCTCCATCTCTAAGCTTTTTGAATTCACTGAGATAGCCGTGATGATTGAAAGGCGCGCCAGCAAGATCTTGGTGAGGAGCAAAATTTTCATTGTCATCATGTGGAGGAGCTTCTTCAGAAAGTTCATCACTTTTTGATTTTCCTTGTTCTTGTAGGAAGTCAGAACGCCCAGACAAGAAATCATCAATAAAAGCAGAGTACGCGTCGCACGGTCCATCATCATCATCATCATCACTACCGGAGATGTTCGAACGCCCAGACAAGAAATCAGCAATAAAAGCAGCGTACACGTCATCATCATCATCATCATCATCACTACCGGAGATGCGAGCGCTGTAAGTAGTTGTTGAACCAATCATGTTCAAATTACACTGTTTTGGACAAGAACTAAGGTGGTAAGCAGAGCAAGAAATTCTTCGGATGAAGAAAATCTTGTTGTTGCATCCGCCCAAGAGTTGTCGTGGAAAGCACCATTATTCATGTCGTTTCTTGTGCAATCATGGTAGGTTTTCTTTTTTTGAAATGGTTTTGTGTTGTAACACAAGGAGTTGTTGTGAAACAACGGTTTTTTTTAGGCTCGGAAGACATTCTTAGGAAAAACAAAGAGATTCCTACGATATTCTTACATTAGGAGAAACAAAGAGATTCCTACAATATTCTTACAACCAACAACGAGAAACAAAGAGATTCCTACAATAACAAAGAGAAACAAAGAGATTCCTACGATGTTCTTACCACCATTCCTTACTAGAAGATAACAACGAGAAACAACGGGAAACAAAGAGAAACAACAGGAAACAAAGGGATTAAACAAGGAGAAACGAGGAGAAACAAAGAGAAACAACGAGAAGTTTGATTGGACAAAATTCTATTTGTTTAACAAAGAGAAACAAAGAGAATCAAAGAGATACTTAATTGGCCAATTTTCTCTTTGTTTCAACAAAGAGAAGGCAATATTCTCTTTGTTTTCAGACCACCGGGAAACTGTGCGATTTTTTTAATTTTTTNCATCTTCTTCCTTGACGTCATCGTCGTTGTTGTGTTCTACTAGCGTCGTGTCTTCAAGAGCGAGTAGTTGGGTCGATGGTAAAGGCTTCTTGTAACCTGTGCAATACCACGAAGAAGATCTGTTTTGAAAAGTAGACGAGTCGATAGGTTCCTTCATTATTGGAGTACGTTTAATCTTCTCTTCAACTTTGACCATTACCCTTGAGTTGAATACATATTTTCGAAGCCAAAAACTGAAGTGCAAGAAAGATTTCAGAAAATTTTCACCACTTCTATCGTGGAAAGTCTTTCTTACAAGAACAAGAAAGTCTTTGCTGATAGCTCGATCTGATTGAAGCATCTTGATCACTTCAAKGTCTTCTTCTAATGCTGTTACAAGCTCCCAGTTGCTGTAGTTCCCTTCCTCTAAGGGAAAAATTGACGAATTACAATTCGAGTGGCCATCATATCGCTTGAGAATTTTCTCAAGAAAGAAGATGAGTTTCTCTCGTAACTCATTGTCGTTGCTGCTGTCGCTGCTACTGCTGCTGCTGTCGCTGCTGCTGCTGCTGTCGCTGCTACTGCTGCTGCTGTCGCTGCTACTGCTGCTGCTGCTGCTGCTGCTGCTGTCGCTGCTGCTAATTTTGCTGTTAGTAGCGAGGAGCTTCAACTTTCGTCTGAGCCTTTCATTTTCCTCTTTCGTCCTCCTATTTTGTTCTATAGCATCATCAAGTTGCTCGTCAGCWGCKACGGAGTATTTTTCCCAATCGACATTCAACTTCCTCAAAAAATGTTCGTATTTTGTCTTCAACGTCTTGAAGCGATTCCTGTATTTCTCGCGTTCATCCTCAAACTTCTTGTATTGCRTCTTGTAATAGTCTTCAAGTTTCTGGTATTGCTCAAGATAACTGGTGCGACGAATCRAATGAAGATGTTCGGGAGGGGGAGGAATAGGATAGAAAGGAGATAGTAGTTTCGTTTCTCCATCTCTAAGCTTTTTGAATTCACTGAGATAGCCGTGATGATTGAAAGGCGCGCCAGCAAGATCTTGGTGAGGAGCAAAATTTTCATTGTCATCATGTGGAGGAGCTTCTTCAGAAAGTTCATCACTTTTTGATTTTCCTTGTTCTTGTAGGAAGTCAGAACGCCCAGACAAGAAATCATCAATAAAAGCAGCGTACGCGTCGCACGGTCCATCATCATCATCATCATCACTACCGGAGATGTTCGAACGCCCAGACAAGAAATCAGCAATAAAAGCAGCGTACACGTCATCATCATCATCATCATCATCACTACCGGAGATGCGAGCGCTGTAAGTAGTTGTTGAACCAATCATGTTCAAATTACACTGTTTTGGACAAGAACTAAGGTGGTAAGCAGAGCAAGAAATTCTTCGGATGAAGAAAATCTTGTTGTTGCATCCGCCCAAGAGTTGTCGTGGAAAGCACCATTATTTGTGTCGTTTCTTGTGCAATCACGGTAGGTTTTCTTTTTTTGAAATGGTTTTGTGTTGTAACACAAGGAGTTGTTGTGAAACAACKGTTTTTTTGAGGCTCGTAAGACATTCTTAGGAAAAACAAAGAGATTCCTACGATATTCTTACATTAGGAGAAACAAAGAGATTCCTACGATATTCTTACACAACAACGAGAAACAAAGAGATTCCTACAATAACAAAGAGAAACAAAGAGATTCCTACGATGTTCTTACCACCATTCCTTACTAGAAGATAACAACGAGAAACAACGGGAAACAAAGAGAAACAACAGGAAACAAAGGGATTAAACAAGGAGAAACGAGGAGAAACAAAGAGAAACAACGAGAAGTTTGATTGGACAAAATTMTATTTGTTTAACAAAGAGAAACAAAGAGAATCAAAGAGATACTTAATTGGCCAATTTTCTCTTTGTTTCAACAAAGAGAAGGCAATATTCTCTTTGTTTTCAGACCACCGGGAAACTGTGCGATTTTTTTAATTTTTTTAATTATCATGATACATTTCAACACAAGCAAATCCAACGGATGAACGTTAAATTTAACGGTCATTGAATTAGATCGACATAGTAGTAGTCGGAGTAGCAATGATGAGTGAGACCACCATTTGGGTCTAAATCAGTCTTGCGCCGAAACTAACGGAGGGCCCAGTAAAAATATAGTTCTAAAAAAATCCTGGGGTGACATTTTCCAATTTCGGACACACGTGGAATATGAGTTTTCGATGCGACGCGCACCCCTCTAAATTATGACCCCTGCGTATTTATCCGTTGCAGAATAACCTACCGTACTACTTCGTACTAGTTTTTTCACCGTAGTAAGTTTTTTTGGCCGCCGCCGTCAAAAAAAAAAACGGCGGCGGCCGCAACCAATCGCTAAAATGGAGCCATTCAACGTATTCAAGCTACTACTGTAATTGTAAACAGTACGATACCCACATTTTTCTTACGGAAGGGGAGATTCAAAAACTGTTTGTACAGTACTACTGTATTCAGAATTCCGGGTAAATACAGTAATAAATAACAGTTTTGTTATTGGTGTTCAAAAAATCAAGCAAGTAGAGCATGGTACGAGTATCGTACTGTACTTCGCTGTGCTTCACCAGTAGTAACACGGAAGAGCGAGCAAGGGTGACGAAGGAACAACCAACAATCCCATCCGAAACTCGAGCCTCGTCATCCGCTCCAGCCTGAAACGATTGGTATCAGCGGCGTTCGCGTTTTGCATTTGAAATACAAAGGGTGACAAACTATACAAAAATACAACACAGGGTGTGCATCGCATCGCATAGCACTCCTACATCAGAATTGACCGATTCGTTGCAGCATCGACGGAAAGAAATCCGTTTTTTGCTTCACCGACGCAGCAATCGCCAGCAAGAAAGACGATCGGCAGCCATCAAACAAATTATACACACCAACTGTAGAATATTGCGCTATGCCTTGGCAGCAATCGCAATTGAAGCAAATGGGGGGGAGGAATGCGTGGCGAGGCACGCCTTCTCTATATTGGTTTCTCTTCGTTCTGGTCGTTGCGGGGCTCAATGTCATTATCGTCTCAACCGTCGGGAACGCCGGTGGAACCGGACGGGGACTCTTGGGAAGAGACGACGACAATGACCGAATCACCCTGCTTTCGGCCAACATACATTTTGCCGTGTCGTCAGACAAGGAGAGCCAGGATTCGATTGCAAGGATGGGAAATGAGTCCCATTCAAACAAAGGAGAACAAAGGAACCAAAGTTTATATTCCCTAGCTACGGAAACTGTTGGTGATCGATTGGATAGGCGGGCAATTAAAAAATCCTTTGAGAACTTTTCAAACAATCAAGAGAATACTGTTGAAGTCACTTCACTACCAATTAAATATTCGTCAGTAACTGGGATGAATAGCAAAACCTCAGAATTATCGTCATCGATAACTGATGCACCGTACTTTATGTACGGGAAAACGGCGTATCAAAACCAGAAATTCCATCGCAAAAAAACGTTCCAACGGATCGATGAAGAGGAGGCAAAACCTATTGATGCATCCCAAAAGGTTTGGGTGCTGCCGGATCCCGTCAAGATTCCAACTCGCAACCATGAGAGCATCCTTCTCGAGTACGACACAACCCATCCGAATGGCAACAACAGCAGCAGCAAGAACAACGAACAAATTCTTGTCAATATTCTTGGACGATACTCTCGTTCGGTTCAATGGATGGACCTCAAAACCGGTGAACAACGTGCGGTCGAGACCAACGGAACCGATCCTGACCAACGGCCACTCAATGATTTGAACCACGTGGCGAGCGTCGTAGTCGACTCTTTTCGTCCCGGCGGAGAGAACCACCGAACGAGAAAGGAAGTCTGGCTGCCTTGTGGCTTCCACAACGATCGCATAGGAAACGAGTTGTCCAGCAACTACGCCCGGATTGTAGATCTGGAAACGATGGCGGTTCGTACTGGACCAAAGCTTCCCTTTTCTGGTGGTGCCTGTGGAGCGGCTCCCATCGAAGCGATTCCCGGAGAGCCAACGCTCGTCTGCTCCTTTGGCGGAACCAACGGGAATCACGATACGGGTGAGTGAACCGGTAGAGACGTTGGTTTCTTTCAAACACAAGAAAGTCTTGCAGAGGAGAGGATTCCTTTTCTCACCACATTCTCTTTGATTTCACCAAACTCGATTACATCATCCCACAGGTATTTTTTTGCCGTACGTGTCATGTTATGATCGAGTCACCGAGAAATGGCTTCATCCATTTGGCAAACTTCCTGTTGGGATGGACCACCTTAGTGTTGCCGTTGTGCCCAAGGCCGCATGCCACCAGGATGATCCTGCTCGCGTTCTCGTCTTCAATTTTCGCACCAAAAACTACGCTACCCATGCCTCGGCTGAAATCTTGGCTTTTGATATACCGAAAAATGGATGGACGAGAGAAGAACTAGTACAAATATCGGCCGAGGAAGAAGGGGAATGGTACACGTTTGCAAACCACAGCTTCACCGGTGGGGAGGATGAGGCATATGCACCGAGGGATGCATCCGGTGTGGTCATGGCCAATGGTGGTAGATCGATCGTCAATTTTGGTGGAATCAATCAGATACGAAATCCCCGCTGGAAGAAAAAAGACCGTAGCAACGGCCCCAAGGTGTTCTCGACCTGGTACCCAACCATTCGAGAACTCAACGTGTGCTCCAGGACATGGGAGAAGGTAGCCGACATGGGCATCCAAACCTTTGCACTCATGGCCTCAGCGAGCACGCAGCTCAACGTTGCCTTCTTTTGTGGTGGTTCGATGTACCGGCAAGACTACAACGGGAACACTAATCTATGCCTCGCGACTAAGATTCCCGGGATCGACTTTTGGAACCATCGGACCGCGGCCGTCGAGAATTTCCCTCAAGGCTTTGAAGCCGGTGGAGAGGCTACCGTCGAGGCTCTTGTCAGCAGGGTAGAACGGTGACCCAGCGCGGGGATAGGCCGGTGTAGATTCAATGCCAATTATTAGATATTACGCGGTTCGTGATATTCTGAACATTGTACATGAACCAAGTCGCATTGCAATCTCAACAAAAAGATATCCATATTCCCAATTAACTACCAGGGTATTGTTTGAAATTTCTACGGTTGGTCGGTTTTTGGTCGACTGCAAACTTGACTGCCTACTATTATGTGCTCGATTCATAGGTGGCCAGTTATCGGACACTTTCCTTCCTGAAACTCCGTCGAACAATCGCTGCAGTCATCAATGAAATGATTACAAAGGATACCTCAGCTGCAGAAGTCTCATACCGTACTACCCCTTTGAAATCAAACAACTAGTAGTGCCATTATCTGAAAAATTATACCACTGGTTTCATTCTATTTGTATTTAGTCCATTGCAAACTTGGTTGCATACTCTTGTGCGTTCGATTCATTGGTGGCAAGTGACGTATCGTCGTCTCGGTTTCTCATTGTTGTCGCCGCCATTTGCTGAAACTCCATCGAGACATCGTTGTGTGGATAATACCGGTACCCCGAGTTTGGATTGTCCATGCTGACCACAACTGAGCTGTTGTGAATGGGTTCCAGTTTCTGGGAAGTGAGATTGCGACAAGAAGCATTCCCGCTGGCATCTCCGTAGACATGGTTCCGCCGCAAGCGAGCAGCGCGGACCGCAGACAAACGGTCGAGCACCGCCTTCTTTTGCTGTTCGTGTCGATCGTTTGGTGGCAGTGCCATACAGTATCGGAACGCAGGTTGTGTGGTGAAAAGAACGGGGGCCACTTGGTGTTTTGGTGGTAGCTTGGTCGCTTCATTGTGATTCACGGCAAATGGCGGTCCTCTTTCGGGGCTGATCCGCAAGCCGGGAATCGGAGGCCTACAGTTCTCCGCTTTGTGCGGCGCCTCGTTTCCGCTCCAAGTACCGCTGGGGCTCCTCGGGTGATGCTGCCTGCTTGGTGCACGGAAAGGTTTCGATCGCCTGCAATGGTAGCTCTTGCTTCCGCCTTGCTGGGGATCTGAGTGCAAGTTTCCTCTCGGCGGTATCTCTTCCTGGTTTGGCAAGAGCGAAGGTTTTGTCGCATTTCTGGAATGGTGGCTGCTGCTTCCGCCCGGCTGGGGGGCTGTGTGCAAATTTCCTCTTGGTGGTGTCTCTTTCCGGCTTGGAGAAAGTGAAGATTCGGTCGCCCTAGAATGGTGGCTGTTGCTTCTTTCTGCGGAGGTGGTTTCTCTTGGTGGTGAATTTGGGCGAAATTTGCCAATAAATCCTTGATGCTGTTGCTGCTGAGTACTCTGGAGTTTCCCTCGGTTGGCTCGACGGCTGAGAAGGGTTCGCTGCCTACTCAGGAGCATTTTGTGACGAGATTCCATTATTATAGCGTAGTTTTCGTCAAAGGGCGAGGGCATGTCCGGCGGTGCGGGCTCATTCGCTACCGGGTTTCGACTGCTGGTCTGGTTCTCACTATATCGTTCTTCGAGAGCAAGATTGAGTGTGTGTGGTGATGAATTGTGAGACAACCAATCCGAAGATTTCGATTGGAAATTGTTTGAACCCAGGTATCCTTGCATACCGGGTGATCGAAGGTTCGACATGTCAACGACGGGGTGGGGATTGCCCTCCGCTCGACTGGATCTATAGGACGAGTCGTATGCCTGCCGATCCCTATCCATCGATCTGACTAATCTGCTTGCCGACGATTCTATTTCGCGATGAGAATACTCCGTGGATTGGCAAGACTGTTCAGAAGAAATTGTAGCCTGTCTAGAATACTCGTCCACTTGACTGGGTCGATGGGATCGACTGGATTGATTTGGTGACTCGGGTGACACAGGAGGAATTGCTCTTGACCGGGGAGATCTAGAAATGGATTGCATCAAGTCTCGGGAATTTCCTTTCGATCGAATCGGGGATCTGGCTGGTGACCGGTCACTGCATATAGATCGTTGAGATCTGCTGGAAGATCCGATTAACTCCCTGCTAGCAAACATAGATGAGCTTGAATGACCAGAAGAATGAGCGAACGTGTGTCTTTTGTCCACGGATCGGGAAGATTCCGATGTTCTTCGAGCATATGGTCGATCACAGGAATCTGGTACTCGCTCGTTTGCATACATCTTTAGGCTAGGTTGCCTTTGCAAATCGGGTTTGCGATACTTGTGTTTCGAGGAAGTGCCTGGCACAGCGCTATCACGAGGTTGTTCCTCATAGTTTGTTTCGGAATCGTTGGAAATATCTTCGAAAGATAGCTGTTGAGTCGCGCTATCATTTTCCTTGATAAATTTCTTTTCTAGATTTCCAAGCAATAACGATTGACTTAAGTCTGAATTTCGATCAGATTCATTGCTTGGTATGCTTCTAATGGGTGACGGAGTTGTTAACACAGACACTTCAGCGTATGATGGATCAAGCGTGACAGCGTCCGAAAAGTCCGAGTCGGCTGAAGCTCCTTTTGTGTCATTCTTTTCAAGTTCATTACGCTGACCACTGAAAGACCCTCTATGTTCAGTCCAATGAGATCCTGGAACTCTTGGAGTTGATAGATACGTTGATGGATGCGACAAACGAGAGACATCAGCGACTGTTGGATCCAGCGTGACAGCATCTGAAAAACCGGATTCGGTTGAAGCTTCTTTCGTGTCCTTCTTGGTGAGCCCACAATTTCTTCCCTGTGCGCTCCAACTAGATATGGGAAAACTTGGTGGTGATGAGTTCGACAAAAGAGAAACTTCGACGTATGATGGATCAAGCGTGACAGCATCTGAAAAATCGGAGTCGGATAGATTTCCTTTGATGTCGTTATTAACAATTTGACCTTGTCCGGGTGCAGTGGAGTAAGATCCTGGAACTCCTCGAGAAACGAAACCATAACTACCGTTCGAACTAGACTCTGCTCGACTCTCGTTAGAAACATGCGAGGGATTCCTCTCTTTGCCTTTGGAGTGATTCGATTTTGCTTTGTCTTGTCGTTGGCCTCTTTGATTTGGGAGCCTCGAGTTTTTCTCTCGATGATGACGCATTGACAATGAGTTCATAAGGTTGGGTAAAGGCTTGCGCATTTCCGCTGTTCCCACGTTATCGTTGAGAAATGACGACCTCAATGATCTTGATTTTGGGCGCTCAAATTTCGCTCTCAAATTGTTCACGGTCTCCCCTTTGTGATTGTTAGGAGACTCGAACATTTCTTTGAGATTCCGCACGCTTCGGTCATTTGCGACTTCTTCGTCAGTTTGCCTAGAATGAAAACTTTGTTCAAATCGTTCCCGAAGACTCTGTACACTAAACTCGTCATTGACTGGTGTATGGCTTTCGTCTTCTCCTCCTTCACCAAAATATTGGGCTTTGACATATCTTCGTTGAAGCCTATCCAGAAAACTATTTCCGGAAGGTTTACGAAGAATGTTTCTTTCCTCTTCTTTTTTTTCTTCTTCAGTTGATTTCGTTGCGTTTGGGCTTTTTCTACAGTGCCTACTTCTCCCAGCAGAAAAAGAGCTTTGACTGGAACTTGAATATCCGTGGTCAGTGTAGAGTATAGGCGAGGTTTCTTCCGGTGACGCGATTCGGTTCAAAGCTCTTCCACGCTTTGGAGATCGTTTTAAATTGTAGGACCGGATCTTGTCTTTAATGGATTTTAGATCGTTCGAAGTACCTTTCCTGAACGTAGAGAATTCTGTCTTTCCAGTTGGTTTGGGAGAGGCGGCAGACTCGTTGAGTGGAAAGGTTCCGCTGGGTGTAAGATCACACTCAAAACTCGACCCAGATGGGCTGATATGGTTAGGGATTGTTGGTAGGCCTTTTTGATGCGAAGAAGCACCCGGTGGTCCAGTCTCTGGACGGGGGAGAGATTCTTCATTGCCGAGAGTGACTCGTTCTTTTACCGCTTCTCCGTCTTCATTAACTCGCTCATTGGCCCGTTGGAGTCTGTTTTTTCGTTCAGTCGACATGGCCCTCATTGCTTGGGATAGCTGAATCGATGCATGGAACGGCTTTCTTCCCTCTCGCTGCGAGAGAGATTTTGATCGGCGGGGKGGGGGKTCTCCTTGTTCTTTACCAAACTCGGATCCAGTTAGGTTATTCTTGGCCATCCTCATGAATTGCTCCGAGGTCATCGTTCTTCCGAGAGACTTGCTTCGAATGGAAGACTCGCGGATGGAAGAATCGTTCGTCTCGTCCAGTCGCTCAGAGGAAAACAGTGGTTGTATAGGAGACTTCCCTCTTCGATCGCGATCACGGCCCCTACTTCTGGTCTTAGCATTTTTCTGACTTTCATGTCTTCTGCCATTTTCTTTTTTCCTTATTCTTTTTTTCTTCGAAAGAGATATTCCCTTGGATTGAAAGACGTCGGCGGTATTTGGACTCGCACGCTCGTTATACGAAACAAACTCTTGGGACCGAGTGGTATTCTTCATTCCATTCGATGACCCGTTTCTCTCGCTATCGTATTCCGGCAGAGTCGATTCGTCGTCCTCGTCGATGCCTTCGTGTTGTCGAATATCTTCTGGTTGAAAGGATTGTTCCCGTTTGGAGTTCTCTCCTTGCTCTTTCCGCGGCTGTATCCCCAGAATGAAGTTGGAACTCATGGGTGTAGGGGAGTGGCTGCTAGTGGACAAACTCAGGATGGAATCTGGCACGGTGGTTGTTTTTACCTGGGGCGCAGTCAGACTCATAATTGGATTGGGAACCCCCACCTTGTGCGAACTTTTGCTGTAGGAGATGATCACATTCAAATCCTGAGGATCTTGCTGGTGTTCAGTTTGTACTTTTTCGCACTCTTGTCCATGGTCCTGCCGTTGCTGATGCTGATTCTGTGCCCCCCGAGCGGTGCCTCTGCCACGTCGGTAGTGTGCCGCAAGGGCCTTTACCTGCGCACCCATTGGCCGCCGGCGGAGTCCGCCTTCCGCTATTATTGGTTTGTTTGCGGTGGTGGTGTTTACTGGGGGTTGGCCATCCTGCGATTGTTTTGGCGTTTGCTGCTGCCCTTCTTCGGCTCGAGGGTTTTCCCCGCTGTTGTCGTCGTCGGGCGGCGACAAGAGACTCCGAAGCATGGCGGTCCGAGCCGTCTTGTTGGAAAACGTCGGCGCTTGAAGCTGCGAAGGCATGCCGTTCGGTTTGTTCGTTCCGTATTTGGCGTCGAGGTACGAGGCAACGTTGTCACGGGAGGCGGTGTCTGTGGTTTCCGACCCACAGGAGGACAGGATAGATTGTTTTCTGGCGTTTTCCACGTGGCGTGTCAGCTTGGAAACCGACATCGGCTCTCTGTCCCCTGGTTGATCCCCAAGGACAGAGGCCGATGACACCGACGAGGATGCCGTGTCCAATAGAGATGGAAGAATTATTTCGTCCTCTTCTTTGGCGTTGCTGTCCCGAATTTGCTGCTGCCTCCGCGAAGATGGATCGTCCAAAGTTTGCTGGAACCGGTTTCGGACCTTGGACAAGATATCACTGTGGCTGGGCGATGTAGTGGTCAGCATGGAACGGGAGAGTGGATACGGATTGAAGTGCCGTTTGATGAAATTCCTCGCGACTTCCGTGGGCGCTCCGGGCTCCGAGGGACTCCACGGTGCGTGCGGCTGTAGATCTGGTTTCGCATGTTGCTGTTGCTGCTTCTGTCTGTGCTGCTGTTGCCTCTGCTGCTGCGCCTGGCGAAACTTCCAGAGTGACCCCGTGCCGCGGCTGGGAGAATTGGGCCGCGGTTGCCCGGGAGAGTCTGGCATCCGTGGATTTGTTTTTGGAAACAAACCTTTTCCGGGGCTCCCGGGGTAGCTGATGATCTTGCTGCTGTGGCGGTTTTCAAAGGAACGTGGTTGCTGCTGCTTCCGTTGGTAGTAGTGGCTGGTACTACCGGTCTCGTCCCCGAAATGCTCATTGACATGGTTTTCGTTTTCGTGTTCATGTTGTTCCTCCTCCAAGGGAACATCCCTTAGAAACCGCGCAGGAGAATCCTCGGAATCATCGTCGTGAGAACCAATTCTTCCTTCTCCGTCCTCGTTGATCCCACTGGTGCTCTCGACACTAAAGGGTGTCATGGGACCAGTCTTCGTGGTTTCGTCGTCGGGGGAACATGGACTGTTGCCGCCGTTCTTCCGTGGAGTAGTAGTCAGATTCGAATGTAGTCGGTGTGGACTACGAGGAATGCTGGGTGACTCACCCGACAGCGGTGCCGTGGTCTGTGTTCCCGGTTGGTGGCGGTAGTGTTTGTGTGTGTCTCGGTGGTTCATTTTGTTGTTGCCGGAAGGAATTCCTGGGATGTCATTGTCGTCGTCATCGTCCTTGTCCCCCGCGACGACCCGGTGTTCTAGCGCACCGGTATAGTTCCCCCTGCTGCGACTATAGCGACCTGTGTCGGTTCTGTTTTGGGTGCTGCTACTAATGCTGTTGGTTCCGTGTGGAACTTGCGTCGGAGACCTCCCCCTCCTCCTGGAAGGACGAGTGGGGCTGCTACCCTTTTTCTTGTTGTTCTGCTTCTTCTTGAAGATTCCTCCCGGCGAATTGGTAGTGGTGGACGTGGAGATTGAGTCGTACGACGGATCCGCCATCATGGCCGTCGATGCGGTAAGAATGCTCCGGGAACAATCCGCGGCCTTTCCAGCGACACTGATCTTCTCGTAGACCGATTGCGTCGTTTGTGGGTTGCCGGACGATTTTGTTTTGAAGGTGCTTGTCGTTCGGCTGCCGCTTCTGCGATCGATCGGTGTCGATCGAAAGGCCTTGGCGGCGGGTCCGGAGGATGACACAGGATGACAACCGGAGGCGACGGGTACTGGAGTGTACCCGTTTCCGGAACAACTCATCCCATTGATGTTCACGGTGCTGGTACGGTTCCCATCATTGCCGTTCCGGCTCTCAGTTCTCGTCCTCGTGCGGCTGTCGTTGTTGTTTCGACTGGGAATTGGTCTCCCCCTAACATTCCCTTCGTCGTACACGTTCGTCGTGCCCCCCCCGCACTGAATTTGAATGGCCTCGAGATACCGGCTGGCAGCTGCCGACTTCCTCCGCCTCGGAGATGGCATGGCGGGTGCCGCCATCAGGGGTGTGGATTTCGAACGCGGTTGCGACTACGATTGCCTGTCCAAAAGCGCCAGACAAATAGAAAAGAACAGAACCGATAGCCAAGCTCTTCACTCCGATTGCTTGCCCGGCTGAAATGTGATGCAATCCCGACCCAATCTCGTCTTGCTGCTCCTTAAATATCCGAATAAATCCGACACAGGCGCTATGCTACGCTTGCTTGAAATGCTCTTCAGTGGCGGGACCCCAATCGTGGTACCGTACTCGAATCTAATGCTTTGCTTTCAGCGGCACTTGAAGTTCTCGATGGTTCGTGTTGACACTGATGATTGCTGCGTTTGAGTTTGCTCTTGTTTATCTTGCTATTGTAATTGTTATTGTTGTGAATCAAACTACTGTCGCACGATCCACATCCTCTTTCTCTTGCTATTGCAATTATGTTTTCCCAAATCAAGTACAAAAAACTTTAAAAGACGTGCATGCTGCTCTCCGCTGCAATTCGTTTCAAATCGGATCGCGAGATTTTTGATTAAGTGTTGATATCTCTTGTCCGGGACGAATGTCGTTTCTGATAACCTTTTCAAGTCCACCAGAAACAGAGATGCACGAAGGCAACAAAATATGCAATACTAGCACTGGTATGTGTAGGTCAGGTTCCGAACTCAGTTTGGATACCAAACAATACCGGTACAGAGTGGTAGACAGAGAGGAAAGATAATGCAACTCGTTGCGGTGACGGAGAAAGGTAACAGTTCGGGCCGATTTGCATCATTTTTCGGAGAACGAAAAACAGATATGTACCGGTAGGAGCGCTGGACAACCATAATTACACATCTGACCAGGACTGTATCGTACCGAACCCGTAGTACCGTACCAGGTAACGAATGACCCCGTATGGCACTAACGCGCAGGTCAGATCGGGCCGCCTACGGCGAGTATCGTATCATTAAATACGAAACATGGGCGCGAGTTCACGTACCAGAGACTAGCACATAGGAATACACATACAACGCATACACAACGGATGCGAGTCTCCCCATGGTGCTTCCGCGATCACACGACACAATACTTTGTACTGTAAGCCTTTCGTAAAAATTGAATACTACTATGATTCATCTGCACTCTACATATATCTCACTAGGTTCTAGTAGTTGGGAAGGCGAATGAGGTGTATTGTTCCCTCCGTAGAGCCATACAATTTGTAACGACTCCGGACCTGTCACCACCTCACTTGCCTTCCTACCTCGTACTTAGTAGCTCTAGTACGTACTACCTCCGTTCCAAAATACTGATACAGTTTGCACCTCTCTGGTTGAAATAAGCTCAATATTTGGGCAATTTCAATGCTTATTTTTTTGTATAACAGATCTATTAGAGTATTATTCAGTCATGTAGATTGAATATAGTGATTGTGTCTGATGTACTTGCAATAGCTACCTAAAGAGGGCTCTTTTTGGCATATAAATGTGATTTTACCGGTTGAAAGGGTTCTACTGGTCGGTTAAGGATGCAACTGGTTTATTTAAAAATCCCAGACTGAGAGCTTTATCATGGTATACTTATCGTACTCATTGAGAATGTTCCTGTGCAGTCATTATTGGTCAAAAGAGAACCCAAAATTGCTCGGGCGCATGCAGTTTTCATGTGTTTTTTTTTTTAATTTTGCGCTGGAGAGAGGAATCGAAGAGAAAAAAAAGTGCTTCGCACATGGTGAAAAAATGCTCCCCGTGTTATTTTCACGTGATAATTTTCACTCTTGATTCACTCACACCTCACAATTTTCTCTTTTCGACGCCTTTCTGTAACTCACTTTGCTCTTTCCATTTGACTGAGTAAGACCGGCTTCTTTGCTATTCAAGCCTTCTTTGCACCTCAAGTGACTCATCGAGTTGGGGTTGGGAAGCGATCCAACGACTCGCCTCGCGCCTTTGTTTGCATCACTCCTCTTAAGGGATCCAAGACCGACTCGCGCCTCCATTGCTTCCACTAATAGGGGATCCATCGACTTGCTGGCGCTTCGCGCTTCCACTGAGAGGGAATCGCGTCTCTGTTGCTTCCACTGAGAGGGAATAACGACTCGCGTCTCCGTTGCTTCCACTAATAGGGGATCCATTGACTGGCCGGCGCTTCCACTAAGAGGGGGGAGCGATCCACCAACTCGCCTTGCCCCTGCACTAAGAGGGGGGAAACGATGACGACTCGCCTCGCGCCTCCGTTGCTTCCACTCTGCTGAGCCAACGCGTCTCCGTTGCTTTCACTAAGAGTGGATTCATTGACAATAACGACAATCAACCTGTGAGTCTCTTTGTTGCTGTGCTAGTTCTGCTTAATGTGAATGATAAAACTGTACTTGTAGTAGTAATTGTACAGKGTTATGCAAAGTGTACCAGTATTATGGAAAAATTCGAGTAGTGCAAAGTGTACCAGTATTTTGGAACGGAAGTAGTAGGTATTTGTCATTTGTATGGTTCATATATATGAATCATACCCACGATCTGATATCCTACAGACAGCAAGAATAAGGGGAATCAAAATTTCAACAGTGCACGAAAATACCGTACGTGTACTTGTATGCAACGGATACGTATGTACTGTATCGGAAGTATATGGTACGTACGATACAAAGCTTCAAAGAAAGGAATGAAAGAACATACCATTCCTATGTACCTATCGTAAGGTACTGTTTATATGTATATATCATAGGATCCATTGTAAGAGGTCCAAGGATTGTAAGAGGTCCGAGGATCATAAGAGGTCCGTGATATCAGAAATAGATTACCTCGCACGGAACAAAGATGTCAGTAGATCAGAATAATAAGAACCCTGTGTAGATTTGGTACTGAAAACTACACAGGATCTAATCAGAGCTACTGAAAGCTCAAGTCAGAGCGCAAGAATCTTAATCTTATAATTCTATTTTCATACACACTTAACACCTACTACCAGTACAAATAATCTCGTGCACAGTAATTACTATTGATTTTTGTGTATCGAAATTAATCATCCATTAAGAAAAATAATAAAAAATACCACATCGACCATGGTGAAATCAACCAACTCCACTCGAACTCGATCATGCCTCACCCTCGACGATAGGTTCAAAGAGAGTGACATCAAGGAAATCAACCTCTTTGTGGACCATCCGGCAAGGACAGAGACCTCCGGCAGAGGAGCCAATCTAAGGACATTTCAAATCCCCGCTGCAAGACTGAAAAGAACTTGCCCAATCTTCTCTGGAAAGTACGGAGTACAAGAATTATTCTATCTACAAGAAGGATTTGAAGATGCAATAGATGATTTGGAAATAGCGGATGGACAGATAGACAAGAAATGGGTAATGGTCTTGGCCCATCGACCGAGGTAGAATTGGAACAACATGTGGAAGGGTCCTAACAGATTGGCAATAGGTAGAGATACCAAAGCACAGTGGAAACAAGCCCTTGTCTTGTTTAGAGAATTTTATGCACCATCGAAGAGAGCAAGAGATGAGGTGATTGCATACTTGGAGTCAGATGCCGTAAAGTAGCCCCACAACATCACTTGTCAGGAACACGCAGAGAAGGTTGTCGTTTGTTGTAACAGAGCCAACATTCTTCATGGTATTAAGGGTCCCTTGTCTGAACAAGAAATTAAGGAGATTCTCTTAAACTCCTTCCCCAAGGCTTGGCAAGCGCAATACATTAGCTGTGGTAAGGATATTCTCAAAGATACACAAACGGAGATAGTAAAATTCATGACAGAGCAGAAGAGACTTGCCGACGATAATGAGGATAGGAAACAAACAAGGAAAAGACCAGCAGATGATACTGCAGATACTAAAAAAAAAAATCTTAATCGTGAACTAGAAGAGGCACTAGGAAGGCCAGAACCATTGCTTTCGTGAGGAAGAATGCTTCTAGCTGCTCTGAGGGGCGGCGCATCCCTCCGAGGAGTTGTTATGGAGGCGCGACCARGTTGTATGTACACTGATGGGCCATTGTAGGCCCAGGGCTTGACTCAGAGGACATGTTTAAGGGAAGTATTGGTTCATAGTAGTTTGGATGGTACGGTTGGGTGCAGTGGAGACCAAAGAATTCGTTGGTGACACAGGGGATTTGTGCCTTCGCTTCTTGGAGTATGCATCAAAGACGAGCCTGTCTTGTGTGATGCTCTCCGGGGGTTGTTTACTATGAATCAATGGTTGAAAATACTGGGTAATGGGGCGGGTGTTGGACACCGAAGCAGTTGTAGCTTGGGTGACACTCGCCAGAATCGGTTTCTCGTAGGCTTGATGATAATAAGATAGCATGGAGGTAGGTGTCTGCAATAAGAATGCTTCCATGTTGTCGGGAAATAAATGTACATGAGATGGACAGGTTTGAAATTTTAATGCAAACAAGGTGCGAACTTTCATCACCACACGCTTCCAATACTGTTCTTGTTTCTGTGAAAGCGTATGGCCATGGAGATCCTTATTTCTCTGTTCCCATAAAGATATATAGGAGGTAAGAAAGAACTCCACAAGGTAACCCCCTAATACAAGCAGGGAGTAAGAGCCGGAATGAAGATCAAGATCGGTAAACCACTGGAGCGAAATGTGACCAGCAAACATATGGTGCCAACCAATCTCACTCTGAAAATGAATAACAGGATGAAGGGACGTAGGATGATTCTCAGGAGAAACAGTGCCAGTGTCTAACCATTTGGTAAGACATGTAGCAAGAGTATCAATGACAATCAGTCGGAAGCCAAGTGTGGACATGCGTTGGTGTAGAGAAGTGATGGACTGTCTCCGCCAGCTGATACGTGTAGGGTGGGAGCAGCAAAAGAGATGTTCGGAGTCTTCAGGCAGGCAACTGGCAGAGACAACAGGTATCCTGCTGTTGGTAGTTCCATCGTTTAAGAACGGTGGCGGTAGGCAGAATATTGTTGCAACATTTAGTGACCAAGACATCCCTGGAGATGCGGCGGATAGCAATGCTCAGAGACTTCCAGGCAATATCAGCAATAACCTGCTGAACTGCTGGGCAAGAAGGTAGCACTGGTGTAATAGGATTTGGCGTAGTCATCTGGGCTTGAAACTCTCCAGCTCAGCCATTGGCTTCAACATTCAATTGAGCTGTCAGAGGGAGGCGATCAAAGTCAGTGTTGTCATCCTGATGGCCTTTCACCCAAGAAAAGGAGTATGYGAGGAAAGGAATC